GGCTCCTTGGGCTATGCTGTGCCTGCCCAGTAATGCACAGTCCTGGGTGGAGCAGCAGAGCTTACCTGGGGAAGGTACTGTGGCTTGGAACAGCATGTGGAAAGTTGTTTCATAGAAAGCTTCCTGGCTGTGGAATGTGGTTGGGATCAGATTATCTGGAAGCTGTTGGCTCTGTGCTCTGGTAGGAGCACACAGGCCTGGTGCTGCCCTTGGTTCCTGGGGAGAGCAGGATGCTCATGAAGCTGTGCCCCATAAAAATAAGCCCATTTTGAGTCCTGGGGAATGACTGCCCTCCCTTGCCTCTGTATCCCACATTCCACAGTGTGCTATTAGTGTGAAATGTCTCATTGTGGAGCAGCTACAGCTCAGCTGCTGTTTGTCAGGTCTCTCTGATAGCACAGGGCAGGCCAGTAACTGCTATTTATATAGCAGGCTGTGAAATTAATGCTCTCCCATGCCAGCTCATAGCCCAAATTGCAGGAGACAGGTTGACTGACTGCTCCTCCTCAGAGTGCTGCTGTTTGTCTGCCTGGTGAGGGGGAGCTGTGGTGGGTGCTGCTGGTGTGGGGTGTGGCAGTGCAGGACCCATTTCAGTGGCACAGCACTGTGTAAGGTGGTAGGAGCCTTTTGGAAAACCACTAGGTTACTGTCTAGTACCAGCTGAAAGCTGAAGGTCTGAGGATCTGCTCAGCTGTTCCTTCTGATGGCAGGATGGTAGGAACAGCAGGAGCATGGTGACAAAGCCCTGCAGGTGGAGGGGCCACCCAGAGCAGGAGGCTCCTTTGGCAGCTGCCGTGGAAAGCAGCCACGGGGTGCACATGGCAGCCCATCCCAGATGGGTGCAGTGCCTGCCCTGTGCTCTTGGCTCCTGCTCTGGTGCCTCCCTCGTGCTGGAGCACAGAGCACAGAGGGCCCTGCTCCTGGTGCTGCGTGTGGTGGGCTGGGAGCAGGGACCCAGCTGTGCCAGCGTGCCATCCCTGCTCCTGGAAGGGACCCAGCTGGTGCCAGTGTGCCATCCCTGCTCCTAGAAGGGACCCAGCCGCCCTCCTGGCCTGCACACACGGCACAGGGGGGCTCCTGCGTGATCCCTCCTCTCCTGGCAGGGAAAGGAGCTGCTGGGGTGCCACAGCAGCTGCTGCAGGAGTGGCACAGCTCTCCCCTGCGGCTTTGGGACTGGGTTAGTGGTGATTCAGCGCTGCCCACACTGCCACTCGCTGTGATCACTTGTCAGCAGTTGCTCTGAGGTCTCCCTGTATCTGGGAAAGCTGTTTGGTGGCACAGTTGTCTGAAATTCCAACTGTAGTAACATTGGAGTTTTAATGCTAGAAAGGCTGTCCTATCCACAAACCTTGGTTTTCTGAGGAACTGTCTCCAAAGAGCAAAATAGGTTTATTTTTGCTTCGCCTCTTCCCTCAAACAGCCCTGTAGCACACTGTGGGAGAAAGTAGCACTCATCTGCTGTGGTGTGGGAAAGTTGGAGCTTTGATCCTCATCCTCCCTCCTAGAGGTACCTAATGGTGCTCATGGCAGGTGCTGATAAATCTGAGCTAATTGTCTGTTCCTGGCAGGGCTGGCACCATTAGCAGTACCCACAGTGCACGCCTTCTGCCTCGTCAGAGCTGGTACTCAACTGCCCCCTTGGTTCTCTGTAGTGTGGGGGCTGGTGCCCCTCTGCTCCTGATTATTTCCTCCGTCCCCTGAGCAGTGGCACTTGTGGGGCTGGCCTGTGGGCTGGGATTCTGTTTCCCTCCATCGTGAGCATCCCACCCTTGGATGGCACTGGCAGCTCTTTGGCCAGAACAGGGGCAGGAGCTGGCTGAGCTCTGCAAGCCCCTGGCTTAGTGTGGTCCAAAAGCATCAGCTCCCAGCTGCTCTGGTGGAACTAGGGTGTGCTGAACCAGGGGGATACCTCAGCAGTGCTGTGAAATCAGGATATAATCTGGGATAGGGTCCGTGCTTCCTTCAGGAGTGCTGTGGGTGCTGCAGGGCAGACCCAGCTCCTGGCATGTTCCACCCCGAGCTGCCAGTGTGAGCAGTGCCCCTGATCTCACTAGATCACTTGTTTGTGCCTTGTAGTAGGTGTGTGGTGCAGCTGTGCCCCTTTTTGGGAGGCCTTAGGATGGTTGTGGGGAAATTCCTTACCTCATTCCCAGGTAAGTGTACTCTGGAGCCCTCAGCTCCAGAGGAGATAGGGTGGGATTTGCAGAAATACCTTTTATCTTGTTGAGGCTGCAAAGACCCAGAGGAGACTTGGAAATTACCTTACTCTGCAGAATAACCTATTTTTTTTCTGAGTGTTTTTGAACAGCAGCTTTCTTAGAAACTCTTTGTAGCATTTTGTCTCCTTGGGGTGAGTTTAGCAGATGCACCACAGGGTTTTTTAGACCCTGCCATACTGCATTAGGGTCACAGACAGGTACAAGGTTGCTTTGAGAGAGGAAAGTTGCTCTTGCGTGGTCGGGTAATGAGGTGTTGGCAGTGTGTGAGGGAGTTCTGCAGCCACCCTGAGTGCTGGTGCCCATCTGCTTCAGCTGGTGTCTTGCTGGTCTCAGGCTTTGGCTGTTTAGTGACCCCTTGGGGTGCTGGGTGTGTGGGGACATGGGGACAAGCTGGCTGGTTCCTTGTGCTCTGGGCTTCCAGCAGAAGGTTGTTCCTGTGGCAAGCTGCACACCAGCTGTTTTGCTGGATTCTGCAGGAGTTGGTTAGAGCCTGAAATAACTCTGACTCTAAATAGTGGTGAAGCGTGCCAAACCTGAGAAGTGCACTTGATGTTGGTAGTAGAAGGTGCTTTTGGATACAAATCCAGACTGGAATTTGCTGAAGGATTGGCCCAGGCACAGTACTGTGCTGTGTTGAACTAGTTGGAGATTTAAATGAGCGGGAGTGCATCCTCTGAGACCCTTTTAATTTGTTTGCAGTAATAAATCACCAAGGCTTGTGAAGGCCACTGTGTTACCTCGGGTGGGGTGTTCCTAAGGAGCAGTGCTGTGACCCTGCCTGATGGATGAGGTGCTGTGTGTAGGATCAATAACCTCCAGTTCCAGCAGCCCCAGTAGGACCCAGTGGGTGCTCTGTGTTTGCACCAGTGTTTCTGGGGCAGTGGAGCACAGCACAAGGTCAGGGGCTGGCATCTGAAGGGGGTGACTGAAGGAAGCTTTTCAAATTACTTTTTACTGAGGAATTGCTCTTGGGAGTGCACACCCACCCTTCCTCCTTGCTGTGCACAAGGCTGGGGAAGCATCTGGAGAGTCAGTCCTGTGAGGAGGGGCTGGGGGGAGATGCCTCTTTCTCTCAGCTTGGAGAAAAAGAGGCATAACAGTCCCACTCCCACCTGCCACACTGGGATGCCCTTAGGGAATGCAGGAAGTTAGGTGTGATGGGCTCATCTCATTAGAGCTTCCTAATCTATGGGAAGTCTAAGACTTTCTTCTTTGAGAGGAGAAAACTCAGGAGTGCTACTTTCACAAAAGTGGGGAAGAGTTGCTTTCATTCTGATCAGACTCTTGCTCAAAGGAGCCTGCTGGGAGTGATAGCCATTATCTGTCCCCTGAGGCTAGTGCCATTCACTGGGGTGGGTAACTGCTTTAATTGAGTGGGATGTGGAGGATTCTTGGCTGGGATGACCTGGAAGCCTGAGAGCTGCCAGCATGGCTCAGCTCCTCCTAGGAATAACACGGGCCACTGTGGCTTTGTGACTTCGACTGGTGTGTATGGGGAGCTCAAATATTAAAACCAATTAGTTGTCTTTAAGGTCAAGGACTTATTTGACCTACCAGCCTCTGTTTCAACTTGGCCTGGATTTTGGATCTTTGGGAGATGGCTGTACAACTTGTGTAAAGAAGCTAATGAACTGATGCTTTTTAAAGCACTTCCCTGCTGCCTCTGTAGCCCAAACACTTCAGCAGGATGCTGGTATGTGGCAGCCTGAAACAGCAGCGAGCAGGGGCTGGGGTAGGCTCCTTCCATAAGAAATGTAAAACCCTGGGGTTTGATGTCTGAAAAGCACTTTGTTGGCGCTCTGACTCAGAATCCTGAGAGGAGGCTTTTGCACAGAGCTTAGCTGGTTTGCCCTTGAGAGTGCTGGAGGATACGATGAGGGATTTGATTTTTATGCCATTACTCTGATGGGAAGCATGAAGTCTGGGTTAAACCTGAGACAATGCAGAGGCAGCACTTCAGACATCTGGGATACTTCAATGGCAAATGGGAGGTACCTGCTGGAAGGCAGATAGGGACTCCCCCAATTTTCCTTTTAGCTTTGGGTGGATTTGAACCACGAGGCAGCTTTGGGGATTAAGAATTCTGCAGGACCCACCCCAAAGCCCTAGGAAAAATGAATATCAAACTTATTTTCCTTGAATTTAAGCCAGTTCTGTGATTTGTGGGGTCTTATCTCTTGACTCTGTGCCTGGGGTTGGTGCTGGTGAAGCAGCAGTGTGTGCTTAGCACAGTTCAGTTAAAGCAGCTGCCAGGGCTGATGAGTTGCCCTGGGGAGAAAAATGATAGAGGGAAAGTAAAAAAGACCTACTGTGACAAAGGGATCCTTACAGTTCCATTTTCTGTATTAATCTGAGGAAAACAATGTGTTAAGAAAGCACTTCGACTGTTTAGTGCTCCAGCTGTCTGAGAACAAATTAAATGGGCTCTGAGATGTCCTTGAAGTATGTGGCTGCATTGTTTTAAATAATCTCTGCTGGGAGCTGCTTCCATTCCTTCTGCTCACAGCCCTTGATCTGTGCAGCCCTTGGTCTGTACATGTGCTCTTTCTTCTCATGTAGCACCCCAGAGTTAACAAGCAGCTTTTGGAGGACTTGCTTGGTAGAGGCTGAGCACTGAAGAAGAGCCTGTTTTGGTTTGTTTCTTTTCCTCTCCTATTATTGTCCAGCAGACAGTGAAGAAGCATTCCTGGGGGAGGAGAGGAGAGAACTGTGTACATGGGATATGGTGTGAGGGTGCTTGTTGCTTTGCTGCCTGCTCACATCCCTTTTTTCTTTCCCCAGCAATGGTACCAGCATGATCTCGTTGATCATTCCCCCCAAAGACCAGATCTCGCGAGTGGCAAAAATGTTAGCGGATGAGTTTGGCACTGCCTCCAACATAAAGTCCAGAGTGAATCGCCTTTCAGTACTGGGAGCCATTACATCTGTACAGCAAAGACTGAAACTCTATAACAAAGGTAACTTCTAGCTTGTATGGATGCTGGCACACTTCCCTTTCTTGGAAGCAGCCTTAAGTTCCTGCACTATGCAGTTTTCTGCTAATCAAATCTGTTGGCCTGTGCTGCTGTTTTGCACTGATATTCCAGGTATGTTGCCCTTGGATGGCTACTTCAGGGGTGGACTTTGGGACTAGAATAGTAAGGTGGTCCTTGTCTGTAAGGAGTGGGGTCATGATTCTGTTCTTAGTGCTGACTCTTCTAAACTTGGCCAGACTTAAGAGCTAGATAGTCTGCAATAGTTCATTTGTGTTAAAGTAGTGCGTTTCTGTCAAGCAGAAACTTCTGTTTCCTTAAGCATATATGCCTTAAGCATGGCATTGAGCAGCTGCCCTCATTCTGGGGGAGCAGACCCAGGCCATCTCAAATGAGCCCTGGAAGAGTTCATTGTTACTGTTTTTGCACTGGGGATGGCCACTCTGCAAATCCCTGCGTGGGGAGCAGCAAAGCTTCTGGGGCTGCTCAGCCTTTCTCTGGGTGCTGTGAGCTTGCAAACTCATGGGTTTAACAGGCAGGTGCACGTCTGCTACAGGTGCAGTAAATGAGCTTGTTTCCCACTGTAGAGATCTGGGAGAGAATGAGGTGCGGAAAAGGGAAAATGGAAGGTTTGGGAGCTTGAATTTCAACTCTACTATGAGTCTCAAGGGTTGGCATTTAGTTTTTGATGGGTACAGTTTGCTGCATTCTTTAGTGATCTAAACCTGCATTGTGTCGTTTGTAGTACCTCCAAATGGTCTGGTTGTTTACTGTGGAACAATTGTGACAGAAGAAGGAAAAGAGAAGAAAGTCAACATTGACTTTGAACCTTTCAAACCAATCAATACATCATTGTATTTGTGTGACAACAAATTCCACACGGAGGTAAGGACTCACCATTTGAGGAGCCAAGGTCTGGGCGGGCACAGCCTTACTGTGCTTGAGGCAGGAGAGCAGCAGGAACATGCCCTGGGGAGGCCACTGAAGGGCTTGGGACTGCAGGGGATGGGGAATGCTGGAAGGAGCTGAGGGGCTGCCCAGTGCTCCCACCCTTGAGTTTATGTAACCCACAGACAGGAGCTTCTCTCTGTAACTGGAGGAAGGGTGGTTTTTTCCTTAACCACAGAGGCCCATAGATACTATTCCAAGTCAGGCTTTAAAATACTGCCAAGATAATATCGGTGTTGCCAGTCTTGCTATCAGATGTGTTAACTGAGAGCCTTGATGGAGAACTGGCATGTGCCTAATCTGTCTGGGGGGAAGTGGGATTATTTTTATCCAACATCTAATTAAGTTAGATGAATGGTTTGAAGCATATTGAAAGAAATGTGGATCCCAGCAGTCAGTGTATTGCCTCTGAGGCTGTTTTGGCTCTGGCAGGTGCAGTGGTCTCAATGTTTGCATTGCCCCTTACGTCCTTGATGTTTGCCATAATAAATGTGTGGCCTGTGACCTAATTGACTTAATGTCAGACCCATCTGACATGGGCTTGGCAGGCCCTCCAGTGATGTAGTTCTGCTCGTCTGTTTGGATCTGTGGAGATGTGAGCCGTAAGTGGCTTCCAGAGGGCAGAGTATAGCAGGGAAAGGTGTGCTTGTTACACAGGTGAGGTCCATCCCTACTATTCTTTCTCCCCACAAAGGATGAAATCCCAACATGCTTTTGATCTCCCAGGAATAACAACCTCTGCACAGTCACAGGTCTGGAGTTCTGCTGGGTCCCTGTGTCCACAGATGAATGAAAGCAAGAGGCAAAAAAGAGAATTTAGTCAGGAGCCAGGATGCCAGGCCTGTAGTTTCCCCCCCTCACACAGCCCCCGAATAATCCAACTAGCTCAGAGATAAGGGGCTGTGAGGGGAGGAATATCAGGAGAGGGGAAAGATATTCAAAAGAGGCTCTCACCCCAGGGTATGTTGGTACAGCTCTCTTTATTCTGTGGTGTCCATGTGGAGAGCGGGGCAAAAGAGCACGAACAGGAAATGTCAGGGGTCTATGTGGTGGCACTGCTGACCTGAGGGGAATTTGTGGGAATTGCTGCTCCTGATGATGGGATCACTGCCAGCTCTGCCCCCCTGCCCCAGGCTGTGTGCTCTCCCCTGGCTGTGGGGTGTGTGGTTATTTCCCTGGGTCTTGCCTGTGCTGCACTGCAGCCAGCTGGGGCTGTGAGCTCTGAGCTCTGCCTTTGTCCCCCTCTCTGGCTGTAGAGCCTTGAACCCCTGGTTCCCCCAGCTGAGCTGACAGCCAGGGCAGCTGCTCGGGCACCCACAGCTTTCCTGGAAAGTTGGGGTGGGAAGGAGGAGGAGGAGGAGCTGGTCTTCACCTTTGGGCTACAGCTGCAGAGAGGAAGCTCAGTCTAGGCTGAAAGAAGAACAAAGGCAGTGGTTCCCTTCTTGGATGCTTGACAGGTCAGAGCTGATCAGGGAATCACTGATCATTGGTACTGTGAAAATTAGAGGAAATCAATGCCAGGCAAGAACATCTGATAAAATTTCTCTTAGATACTTTATTGCCTGTGTGAAACTGAAGTAACTCCCTCAGGGGGCTGTGAGCCCTGATGTGTGTCTGAGGAGTAGGATTTACAATGACTTGCTTTGATACCTTGGCTGGAGCATTCATTCCAGTCACACGTTTTGCTTGGCTTATTCCCAGTTAAATAGATTGCAGTGTAATATGCCACTTCCTCCTCTCATTCATCCCACTGCTGAGGAATTAATGCAGAATATTTACTTTGGCCAGGGCATTCCATTAAACCTTAGCCTCTGTTTCTTCTAAGCTTGAGAGCTGCATGCAGGGTTGTGTGGATTTTGGAAGATGACTGATGGGTTTTATCCTTTCAGTTCAGCCCAGTAATCAGGCTGACAGCCCTGCAGGCAGCTCGAGGTCCCGTGCAGTAACCCAGCACCATCACTTTCAGTGTTAAACTGGTGACTTCAAGCAATCTGGAGTTTTGACAAGTTCCTCATCCTACTGATGTGGTTTTGCCAGCCAGAAAGAGGATTCTGGCTATTGCTTTTTTGGGCATGTGTAAATGAGAGGAGTATGTGTGTGTGCTGGATGTTTCTACCCACTCAGCCCCTAAGGGAACAGCAGCTGAGAGATTGCCTTGAAAAAGGAGTGCAGAGTTTGGGTGCTTGGGCAAAATGAACTCAAAAACCTTGATACTGCTCTGTGCTTTGGTTGGGCAATGTGAATGACCTTATGGGAAATATTCAGCTGCTTTTTTTAAAGGGAGGAAAATTGAAGGATAACTTAATTTTGCAGTAAATGTTCTGGGTGTCTTCTCCACAGCCAGTTATGCACAGGACGATTATTGCTGCTGTTCCTTGTGCTCTGTAAGGCTGAATTTGCCACAGCCACTGTAGATTTATTTCATTATTCTGCCTGTGGGACTTGAAGTCAGCAGGTGCAGCAGACCAGTAGTGGTGGTAGGGAGGTTGTGTCAATGCTTTGGAGTACAAAACTGAACTGACAACGAACTGAGCAAGTTCTGCTTTCCTGACTGGAATGCCAGGAGAATTACTGCTCTAGTTGTGCCAGCCAGAGAGGTGAGGCAGCCTCAGAGAGGTGGGATCCATTTTACTTCACACTCTCCAGAGCCCATCTCCAGGGTTTTACTGTCACACCTGCCCATGACCTCAGGTGGGGAACTGGCAAAGCTGGGAAATTGTGATCAAAATTAAACTCGAGTTTCCTCTGTGCTCTTGACAGTGTTGTACAAGATGGGATTATGTATGGAAGGAATTTCTTCCTGTGATGGTGGGCAGTCCTGGCACAGGTGCCCAGAGAAGCTGTGGCTGCCCCTGGATCCCTGGCAGTGCCCAAGGCCAGGCTGGACACTGGGAGCAGCCTGGGACAGTGGGAGGTATCCCTGCCATGGCAGAGGAAAGTCTTTAAGATCTCTTCTAACCCAAACAATCCTGGGATTCTGTAATGATCTGGAATAGTTACAGCTCCCGAATGTGCTGGTTTTGCTAATAAAAGCATGGCCATGACCAGCTGTGAGCTGAGGCTGAGGGGCTGTGCTGTCTCAGGCCCTCCCTCACAGCCTCTCTCTGTTCCAGGCCCTCACGGCGCTGCTCTCTGATGACAGCAAGTTTGGCTTTATTGTAATAGATGGGAGCGGGGCACTCTTCGGGACTCTCCAAGGAAACACACGGGAAGTGCTGCACAAATTCACTGTGGATCTTCCAAAGAAGCACGGTAACACACTCGTCTGTGTCTGCTGAGGGCAGAAGCCTGTCCTGGCTGGGATGTGAGGGTGGGAGTGGGGAACTTGGCCTGTGGGGGTTTAGCTCTGCTGAAGTCTGTGCTCCCTTGGAATCTGACAGCAAAGCCTCCAGTCTGAGCCTTCTGTCAGAATTAATGAATCACAGTTATATGCAGTTGATCTCAGAGGTGGCACTTTTTAGTTCTTGCTGCATTTGACCCTTTCCTTGGTTTTGGGACAGTTCTAAGTAAGTCTTAGTAGCACAAGCAGTAATCCTGCTCAGTGGAGTCACTAAGGTTTGGTGTGCTGGTGCTGTGTGCACCCCACAGTGAGGAGCAGCGAGCTGCTCTCTGCAGGAAGCACAGGGCCTCATGGAGCAAGGGAAATTCGAGTTCCACGCCGTGGAGCTGTGTTGTACCCAGCCACTGATGAGTTCAGCAAATTGTCTGCTGGTTACTCCTGGCCTGCTGTCCTTTGTAGAGTGGGATGGGACAAAATGAAACAAAAACACTGCCCCAAGTGAGGCTGTGCAGCAGAGACTGCTGGGCTGCACTGTGTCAGCAGAGGCAGCGTACAAAGGAGAGGGCTTCTCATGAAGGTACAGGGAGAGAGAATGTGCTCAGATGTTCAATTTCTACAGAGTTGCAGGGCCTTATAGAAAGAAAATAAACATTTTCCTCTGTCGAGAAAAATCTCCTGGTGGGAATGAGCCCTCTTTATTCTCTGAGTGTTCCATGGCAGCCCCTGCCTCTGCTCGTGGCAAACTGAATTCGGGAGGCTGCAGCTGCCCTTGGCTGTGGTTATTCCAGGCCAGCTGTGTCCTGAGGACGCTGCTGGCGTGCAGTGGGTCCCCCATGGCTGCCCCATCCTTCCCTGCAGGCAGAGGAGGTCAGTCTGCCCTGCGCTTTGCCCGCCTGCGCATGGAGAAGAGGCACAACTACGTGCGCAAGGTGGCCGAGACGGCCGTGCAGCTCTTCATCTCCGGGGACAAGGTCAACGTGGCCGGGCTCGTCCTCGCCGGCTCGGCCGACTTCAAAACTGAGCTGAGTCAATCTGACATGTTTGATCAGGTGAGTGTCAGCGGGGAGGTGGTGATTGTAGCAGGAGCTCTGATACAAGATGCTATTCTGGAGGAATTTAACTCTGGCATCTGAAGAGATTTGATCAAAACTAAAAATATGATATATCCAAAGAAATCTACCGTTCCTAATATCTCCTGCAAGGAGCTGAGAGCTCCTGTTCTTGAAACAGGGCTAATAAGAAAGCTGTCCTCCCTGGTTTGGAACTGGCATTTGCATTCTTTGTGTTCCCAAATCTAAAGCAGAACTGAACTCCAATAAACCTAGTCCTGTGTCCCTCTTGCCTGAGAACTGTGGCTCAGTAGTGTGCATTCAGAGGTGCCTCTGCACTGGGTGAAGTGCAGAAATGGGAGCAGTGACTCCCAGGGCAGGGTGAGGATCTGACAGCTCTGCTCTGGGGTGGATTTACAATTTCCTGTCTCCTTCTCTCCTTCAGCGGTTGCAATCCAAAGTGCTCAAACTAGTTGATATTTCATATGGAGGAGAAAATGGCTTCAATCAAGCAATTGAGTTGTCAACTGAGGTCCTCTCCAATGTGAAATTCATCCAAGAGAAAAAGCTAATAGGTACGTGATGCACTGCAGCCTCCTCCTGAGCCAGGGCTGAGGTAAAGGTGCTGCTCGTGCTCTCACCCTCCTGGCAGTGCCCTTGGCTGCCCCAGCCCTGCCATGCTGGCTGAGACTGGGACTTGGCAGTGGTTCTTTTTGCCATCTGGACACCTCAGTTGCTGGTAAGGGGGGGGGTTGGTTGGTTTCTTTTTCCACACTAGACTTCTTGGACTTTCTCTGTCCTTCCATCAGAGATCCCTTTAGTTCCAGGCCTTCTGGTGGCAGCTGCTTCTCGCAGTTCCTTGCATTCAGATGAGGCTTGTTTGAAGTGTGTGTGCTGTGCTGAGTGCTCATGGCAGCTCTGTGTGCCCTGCAGGACGATACTTCGATGAAATCAGCCAGGACACGGGGAAGTACTGCTTTGGTGTGGAAGATACACTAAAAGCTTTGGAAATGGGAGCAGTAGAGATCCTGATAGTCTATGAAAACCTGGATATCATGAGATACGTCCTGCACTGCCAAGGCACAGAGGGTACGTGGTGCTCTGGGACACTGCAAGCTCTCTGGATTTGACACCTGAGGTGCCTCACTGGGATGGGTTTGCAGGAGGAGCTCCCTGGGGACATCTGACCACAGGGATGCTGTGTGGCTCTGTGTTACTTTGCAGGTCACTGGCCTGCAGTTTCCCAACCCCTGTGGGGGAAAAGCTGGAACAAGCAGGGTTCCAGTGCACAGAGGGAATTGCAGTGCTAGGGGGGCAGTTGGTCCCAGAGCCAGCCTGGAACCTCCTTCCAGCTTTGTGAGTGTGATACCAGAGGGGAGACTGAGGTGACCTCATGTCCAGAAACACAATTCCTGGGCCTGTAGCAGGACCTGCCCCCTCTGTGTTGGCTCTGCAGCTGCTCTGTGGGGTTGCTCACAGAGCTTTGCAGAGGAAGGAAGGCAGTGGTGGTGCCCAGGCCCTCTGTGTTGTAGTTGCTGGCTGTGCTTGGTCTCTTGCTGTCTTTAAACTGCATCTTGTAGCCTTACTCTAACTAATATTATCATTTTTCCTTCCTTCTCAGAGGAGAAGATCCTGTATTTGACACCAGAGCAAGAGAAGGATAAATCCCACTTCACAGACAAGGAGGTATTTCAGCTTTGGGGCGTCTGGGTTTGTTCCCAGTGTGTTGGTGCAGAGCTCTGGACATCTGGGCTAAGTTTGTTCCAAGCACCTGAGCACAGTGACCTCCTGTCACTCAGTGACACTCAGGGCAGGAGCCTATGGCTATTCCTGTGTAACCCCTTGGATCCTACACCTGCTTTTCTCCAGTCTTCCCTGCTGCCAGTGCCAGGGTTGTGTAAAAGGGCAGTGTGGGATCTTTGGCCACCGCTGAACCATCACCTATAAGGGTTGGGTAGCACCATGCAGGCAAGGCCCCAGAGCTGTTGCTTCCTGCTTACAAGGCACTGATTTGGTTGTGCAGAACCCCTGTGAGGTCAGGAATGGTGACCTGGATCAGGTGCCAACGGAGTGCCTGCTTTGGGATGCATTTGACATGTGGAACAGTCATTTGCTGCCTGAGTTTCCTGCCTGTGCAGGTCAAACAGCCCTCGTGTACCAGGGGTCTGTGTAACTTTGCAGAATTAACTGGGGAAAAAAGTGTCCCTTGCCAAAGGGTGGGGATCTGTCCCATTTGGGTTGTGCCTGGAGGCCATTTCCAGCTTTTTCCCTAGTGGAGTGAGGACTGCCAATCCTTGCTGTGCATGGAGGGTTTGCATGTTACCTGCAGTGAGGAGTTTGTGTTTCACAATAATCACTACACTTCCTGCTCAGAAAATGGTGCCTTGTGGCTCTGTGCTTGCATGGATCAGTGTTCCTGCCTGAGGACAGGGTCTGGTGGATGAGGGGAGCTGCAGTCTGTGCAGGGGGCAGAGCAAGTCTGAATGAGCAGTGAAGCATGGAGTGACACTGGAGCAGAAGAACCAAGATGGTTTTTCTTCTGCTTCTGCACTAAATTTCGTATTAGAGGCCCAAAACACTGTCAGTGATAAATTCTGTAGCACCAGGAGCTGGTGGTTGTGCCTGCCCTTGCCTGGTGCAGTTGTGCCTGGAATGCCTTCCCCCAGGAATGTCCCTGTGGAGATGGGGGCTGCTGTCCCTGCTACTGCTGACAAAGCCGTGGAGCCAACTTTGGGGGGGATTTTCTCAGTACTGAACACACAGTGACTGTAACAGGGTTTTATTATTTATATTTCCCCTCCAATGTCTCCACAGACTGGACAGGAACATGAACTCATAGAAAGTATGCCCCTCCTGGAGTGGTTTGCAAACAACTACAAGAAATTTGGAGCAACATTGGAAATTGTTACAGACAAATCACAAGAAGGATCCCAATTTGTGAAAGGATTTGGAGGAATTGGAGGTAAACTGCAAGAGGAAAATGTGTTTGTCTTGTTTAGTGGTTGGTTTGATAATCTGGTGCCAACACGAGTGGGATTAATCTTATTCCTGGTAGTCATGAAACCAGTTCAAGAAACAGTTGTGTTCACAAGGGTGGATTAATTCCCTGTCCAGCAGGATGGTGGTCCATGTTGGGCCCTGTCACTTTCCAGCTGTGTTCCTCAATTCCTGTGTCCTGTGCAGGGGTCAGGGATGGGCTGTGTCCCCCTGTGCATCTGCTGGAGGCCAGGAGGGCCCCGAGCTGCCTGGCTCTGTCTGCACAGGGCTTTGGTGGCAGCCCCTGCTCTGCCCTGCCCTGCCCAGGGGTCTCTGACAGCTCCAGCCCTCTTCCTGAAGCACTTGGAGCTCATCTCTCAGAGCCTCCCTGTACTTCTGCTTCTTTCCAAAAGAAAAGTCTCTTTAGTCCATCCTCTGGAGCAGTGAAGCCTCTGAAAGCCAGTCCTGCTCTGGAGCTCACCGAGCATCAGCCATGCCTGGCAGAGGTGCAGGTGGTTCCTGTGCCAGTCTGACAAATCCTGGGCAGGTGTGGGCAATCCCACAGCCCTGCCAAGCTCCATGTCCTGTCTGGCCAGGGGTTCCAGGACAAAGCTGTGCCACTGGCTGGGCTCAGCTTTGGTGGATGTGAACCAGGGAGGAGTGCATTGTAAAGGGAATTTCTAGGGCCCAGAGAACACCAGTTGGGAGGAAAGAACCTTGGATTGTTTGGCTCCATAAGGAGCAACAGGTTTCTAAGTTTTCAGGGTCGGTAATTCCAGGAGTCTCTCATTTCCTGGCAGATCAGCCTCTTTGCATGGTGGGGTTGTTTTGTTCCCATGCCCTGTAGGCTTGAAAGGAAATGTCCTTGAAAATCTCCTTCACCTCAGTAAATGATTCCAGGCATGCAGGATTTCCAGAACCCTGGGTTGGTGTTTGGGGTGGGAAGAGGAAAACAGACACTAAATCCTGCTTTTGCTGCATTTAAAAGTACCTGCAGTGCCAGGTGCCCTCTGGATTTTACTGCCAGGCCTGGATCTGAGCAGTGGCACTGGCACCAGTGATGTGCCACCGGTGCTTTGTGAAGATGCAGCCCTAGAACGGGCTCAGCTTTTCCAGGAGGAGGCTGGCCGGGCTGGGCAGCTTCCTTTGGGCACTAAATTCCTAAATTCCCTGTGGCTCTTCCCAGGGCAGCTGCCTGTCGTTGCCAGGCCTCAGCTGGACATGACTGGGAGGCCCTGGGAGCAGGGCTGGGGAAGCTAAAGGCTGTTTCTTTGGCAGGTATCTTGCGGTACCGGGTGGATTTCCAGGGCATGGAATACCAAGGAGGAGACGATGAATTTTTTGACCTTGATGACTACTAGGTAGTCGAGCTGGGTCCGGCAACACGTGCCTCGCCCCTCCAGCATCCAACCCAAGGAGCAAACTCATGGTGGAAAACACAACTGATCCCTGCCTTAGAAATGGAACATTTCCAGAACTTGATCCACGAGCATTTGGATTTGAGAAAGCAAAACCCTACACTTTGATTTGTCATAGTGTCAGTACAGCAGCAAACTACTAAGTTCCTATATGCCACTTTGGACTAATTTAAAAAGAATCCCAGTTTTTACTTTTACTCAATGGTGAAATTGGTTGCTCTTGTATTTTATGGAAATGATTTTTTTAACCTTCATGATACATTAACTGCTGTAAACCTTTTCCTTCCAAAATTAATAGAAGTAAGATCCTACTGGTTTGTTTCTTTATACTTTGATTGGAGAAATCAATTGCTGCATTTGGCAGCGCCGTGACCCATTTACATGGCATTCTCAGCTTAGCCTGCAGAAGAAATGGAACGAGGTTGGAGCCATAATTCTCTTCAAAAGCTTGAGGAGGCACTGACCTGAGTGCTGGTTCATTACATGTGGCTTGCAAATTCTGATGGTTTGGGGAGGCTCACCAGCCGAACGTGCTTTAATCTATTTGCAGAAACACTGCTCTTACAAACTAGGAAATGCACTTCATGGATTGCAATGAAAATGCTGCTGGAGTCTTGGGCTTAATTTGGATTTGAGCAGTGCAGCCTTCAGGAATTTATTTTTTTTCAGTCTTGACAAAAAATAAACATGAGATTTCAGTGAAGTAAGGTACACTTGGCTTTTTGTTCCTCAGTAAGTTTTCCTTTTTGCTTTAAGACTGCATAAGGTTTCCTTGATTATGTGAATTTGAGCCCACAGGTCTTAAATGGAAGTGGGTGTTTGACAGGAATATTGAGTCAGTGGTGTGAAGGCTGAATTAGTGTTGGGAGTGTGGAATATTTGATTCTGACCGTGGTGCACTGCTGGGAGCTGTGTGTTCCCAGGGCTGTCTGTCCTGTGGGGATGTTCCCTTCAGGAGGTAAAGGATCACCTCTGGATGGTCCCAGACTGCCCTGGCTTTGTGTCCTGCCTATTCCACGGAGCGTCCAGAGATCAGGGAGCTCATCTTTGGGGTGTGTCCAGCCTGCTGGTGACACTCTGGGGTCAGGGGCTGTGCACGCCAGGGCAGCAGTGACACAAGGGCAGGTCCTGTCCCAGGGCAGCAGTGACACAAGGGCAGGTCCTGTCCAGGGGAGCAGTGACACAAGGGCAGGTCCTGTCCCAGGGGAGCAGTGGCACAGCTCAGGTCCTGTCCCAGGGGAGCAGTGGCACAGCTCAGGTCCTGTCCCGGGGGAGCAGTGGCACAGCTCAGGTCCCGCTCTCTCCCTGGGGGCTCTCCCAGCGTTGCTCCCGGTGCTTCCCTCAGGAGCAGCTCCTGTTCCAGCTGCAAACCTTTGCCTCTTGTCCTGGTTCACTTGAACAGAGGGAGCTTCACTTCAAATTTCTGCCACACTGTTCTTTGAGGTCCAAAATTCCTGTCCTTGTGAGCAATACCATTTGTCCCCCTGGTCCCTAACCTGGAGGGCGGCTTTGCTGCCGTCCTTACATCCAAGCTGGAATCTCTCCCAGGAGCTGGGGCTGGATCTGCTCAGGGCTGAGCAGAGCCCTGGCCCTCACAGCAGTATGTTCTGGATTTTGCCATTGTAAATGGGTCTAATGTGACATGACAAGACCACAAAAATTGGTTGTAAATTTACATTTTTGAATATACTGCTTGTTGTTTCACATGATACATTAGGGTATGCAGCTCCTTTTTGTAGTTTTTATTTTTACTATTTAAGTTTGGAAATGATGCCAAATTTTTGTATTTCTTTAATCAATGTGTTCTCTTCAGTGATATATATTGCATTATATATTGATGTGTATATCAATATATACTGATATGTATTACACTTACACATGCAAACACACTCAGTGGGGGTGAGAGATCCTAGCCTTCGCATACTATATAGCCTCTGCAGAGAGATCCCAAGCAGTGATATCTTGGTGTTGTGATGTACAGAAATGGAGAAGAGTATTAAACCATATTTAAGAATATAGTTCAGACTCCTGGTTTATTTTCTCTAGTCCAGGAAACTCCTGCTGTTTGCTCTCAGCTTGGTGCCAGCTTCAGGGCTGGAGGTTGGAGGCAGCTCTTTCACAGCTCAGTTTGTGTTTCTGGATGTCTCTCCCTGTGCTGGCCCTGCTGAGGCCCCTGAGGGCTGTGCCCAGTTCTGGCCCCTCATGGCAAGAAGGACACTGAGGGGCTGGAGCGTGTCCAGGGCAGGGAACGGAGCTGGGAAGGGGCTGAGGGAGCTGGGAAGGGGCTCAGCCTGGAGAAAAGGAGGCTCAGGGGGGACCTTGTGGCTCTGCACAGCTCCTGACAGGAGGGGACAGCCGGGGGGTCGGGCTCTGCCCCAGGGAACAGGGACAGGAGCAGAGGGAACGGCCTCAGGCTGGGCCAGGGCAGGCTCAGGGTGGGCAGCAGCAGGAATTTCCCCATGGAAAGGGGGCTCAGGGATTGGGAGGAGCTGCTCAGGGAGGTTTGGAGTGCCCATCCCTGAAGGTGTCCAAGGAAGGGCTGGAGGTGGCACTGAGTGCTCTGGGCTGGGGACAAGGAGGGAATCAGGCACAGCTTGGACTCGGTGGGCTTAGAGGGATTTTCCAGTCGCTGTCAGTGCTTAAATAACCCAGTGATTCCGTGCTTCTGTTTCTCCAGCACATTCAGTTGCTCTTTGAAGCTGGAGCTTAAAACTGATTTCAGGAGGAGGGAGAAATCCAAGAGTCCAAAGGCAGGTGTGCTGTGAGTGTTACCTGAGGTGCTCTGAACACCTGAGGCAGAGGAAGGACAGCCTGCAGCAGCACCTTGCCCTTAACATCCCAGTTCCAGAACCCCAGGGTAGTTTTTTAAGAAGCCTTTTGGGCTCTGCCTCTTGGGCCAACCCAAACAGAAGTGTCCTGGCTCTGTGGGCCTGCTCTGACCTCTCTGGCCAACCCATGTGTGTCCCTGGCTGCCCAGGGAGCTCCTGCCTCCTCCCACAGCTGGCAGGCAATTTGTGAAGGACATCATTAATATTGGGGCTTTTAAAGGATGCTTTAAATCTCTCAGCAGGTGTTGCTTAGCTGAGATTCTCTGGCCAAGACTGAGCCTCCACCTTCCACGGAACAGCGAGATTTGGGTGCAAGGCTCTTGGTTGGTGTCACACTTGGGTTTGTGCAGAATGGGCTGAGACTTCCCAGTTTGTGCTCTGCCTCACACAGTCTCTGATCTCAGCTGTGGCAGGTGGGACAGCCTGGCTTGTTCTCTGGATTCCCAAAGTTTGGACATGGGAGGTTTCTGCTGGAGCAGACATAGAAGTGATGCACAAATCACACTGTGTGTGACTCAGGTACACAAAAGTGATACTGTCCAGCCCTTGGTGGAGATAAAGACATCAAGGTGAGCTCAGCACTAAATTGAAAGTACAAAAATAATCCCTTCAATTGGTGGTCAGGGGAAGCTGCTGCCTGCAGAGAACTGTTCCTGCAGTCTCCCCACTTGGTGCAGCCAGGCACATGAGTGTGTATTGCTTAATAAAATCCCAAATATTTCTCCGTTGACCCTTTACTGGCAGCACCAAGCCTGGTTTCTGCTCTCCAGTTGTGCAATCCAAGAGGAAGCAGCGAGGCCTGGCTGCTGTGGGGGGATCCCAGAGCTCTCCTCTGCTGTCACAGCCGTGCTTGGAGCTGCTTTCCCCGTGGAGCTTGGCTGGTTCCTGCTCTCCCCTGCACGTTTCAGTGAGAGCACAGCTGTGTCTGTGTGGCTGCGTGTGCTGGGTCCCCTCAGTGCCTGGCACCTGGAATTCTCCCAGCAGCTCCTCCCCCAGGGAAGGATGAGGGCCCTGGAGAGAGACATGGTGAAGTTTCTTTTCAGCTGCCAGGATCAGGCCACTGGGTCTGATCACCTTCAGAAAGCAGCTCTGCTGTGGCCTGGCTTTTGTTCCAGATGCACTCAGGTTGCTCTGTATCCAAAAATGCATTTTTTCACACCGAATATTGCAGAGCATCAGGTGGGCTCCCATCCAGGAGTCTCAACTGCCTCCAGCACATGGGATTGCTGCTGGAATTGGGAAGGGAGTTTGATGGGGCCGTGTTTGGGCACTTCCAGCAGGTTTGGGATTGGAAACCGGACAGGATTGGTGGTTTTCTGCTGGAGAATGATTGTTTTCTCAGAAGGGATCTAATCTTGGTTATCTGAAACTGAGAGAAAAAGAGTCACTTCCAGGATGTCACATGGAGTTGCTTCTGTGCAGGATGGAGAGGCCCCATCCCTGTGTGCTCCTGGGTTTGGATGTGGGGCTGGAGGCTCCTTGTCATGGATCATCAGCTCCTTCTGGCTGCCTGAAGGTGTTTTGCCTTGTGCCAAAGGCTTCAGCTTTTCTGAAAGCTCCAGCTGTGAGTGCCTCCCCGCCTCAGCAATACCTGAAATTTGGGGTGTCTCTGTGGTGGGGCCACCCTGCTCCCTCTGCATTCCCTGCTCGGTTTCCAGCTGCCACTGCATGCTCAGATATTCTGATAATGCTCTTCTGAAATGCTCCTTTTTGTCTGGCTGTAATTAAAGCCAGAATTTGCCCTTTCTGAGTTGTTATTTCGGGAGCTGGAGCTCTGCCTGTGCTGTTGTCACTCGTGGGCTACAAATGCCATTGTCCCGGGCAGCCGGGCCCGGCCGGTGGCGCTGGAGGCAGCTCTGGAATTTCACTCCGCTATTTTTAGTCAGTGGTGAAAAACTGCTCTTCCAACACTTTTGAGTCGCTGTCAGTGCTTAAATAAACCAAAGGGCAGGTCCTGGCTGCTGTAAAGAGCGGGATGAGGAGGTGACCTGGAGCTGCTGCAGGGCTGAGCTGGGAATGGATGAGGTGGGGGAGCCCCAGCCCTGCCTGGGCTGTGAGAGGTCAGACATTGCTGCCCTGTCACAGCCCTGTCACAGCCCTGTCACAGCTCTGCCACAGCCCTGTCACAGCCCTGCCACAGCCCTGTCACAGCCCTGCCACAGCCCTGTCACAGCCAGGCCACTGCCCTGTCACAGCCCTGTCACAGCCCTGTCACAGCCCTGCCACTGCCCTGTCACAGCCCTGTCACAGCCCTGTCACAGCCCTGTCATAGCCCTGCCACAGCCCTGTCACAGCTCTGCCACAGCCCTGTCACAGCCCTGCCACAGCCCTGTCACAGCCAGGCCACTGCCCTGTCACAGCCCTGCCACTGCCCTGTCACAGCCCTGTCACTGCCCTGCCACAGCCCTGTCACAGCCCTGCCACAGCCCTGTCACTGCCCTGTCACAGCCCTGTCACTGCCAGGCCACAGCCCTGTCACTGCCCTGTCACAGCCCTGCCACAGCCCTGCCACAGCCCTGTCACTGCCCTGCCACAGCCCTGTCACAGCCCTGCCACAGCCCTGTCACTGCCCTGTCACAGCCCTGTCACTGCCAGGCCACAGCCCTGTCACTGCCCTGTCACTGCCCTGCCACAGCCAGGCCACAGCCCTGTCACAGCCCTGTCACAGCCCTGCCACAGCCCTGCCACAGCCAGGCCAAAGCTCTGTCACAGCCCTGTCACAGCCAGGCCACTGCCCTGCCACTGCCCTGCCAGAGCTCTGCCACTGCCCTGCCACTGCCCTGCCACAGCCCTGTCACAGCCCTGTCACAGCCAGGCCACTGCCCTGCCACTGCCCTGCCAGAGCTCTGCCACTGCCCTGCCACTGCCCTGTCACAGCCCTGTCACAGCCCTGTCACAGCCAGGCCACAGCCCTGTCACTGCCCTGTCACAGCCCTGTCACAGCCCTGCCACAGCCACCTGTCTGTCCCCTCTGTGCAGGTGTCCCACGGTCACTGCTATGGTGAGGTGGCTCTGGGCTCTTTGCTCATCTCACTGTGCCCCTTTGGGGTCGGTTCTCCCCCCTTCCCTCTGTGTCCCCAGATGTCCCCCTTGGCTCTGCCATAGCTGCAGCCCTGTGTGCAGCTCTGCTCTCCCCAAAGCCACCACAGGGCCCACCCTGGGCATGGCAGCTCTTGGGCAGCTGGGACAGCGGCAGGAGCTGCTGAAGGACCTCTGTAGGTCCAGGTGAATGTCTCTTGTGTGGGATCTCCCCTTCCACCCAGACACCTCTAGAGCTGTGAGACAAAACCTGTTGCTCACCAGTTTCCCCTTTTCAGTTCCAGGCAGGAGTTTCCTGAGAAGCTGCTTCACCTGTTTGGCCACCAGGTTCCCACCTCGGCACAAATTCCTCCCCAGCTAAGGGGTCCCCACAGCTGAGCTTTCCTGCCTGGCTGTTCCCTGCCATGTGCCTGGAGAGGCCCAGGTGGCTGCTTTGGCTCCCTGCTTAGGCTCCAGGGCTTGCTTGGAGTGGGGAACCTTCAGATCAGCTTAGCTGAGGTTCCTGGGGTCTCCAGGTCCCCCTGAGCTGCTCTGCTGCCAGCCTGTGGAGGTCAGAGGGGCAATTGCTCCTGGAAGGACCCTGGTGACACTGGGCTTGTCTGGGCTGTGCAGCTGCCAGGGAACTTGGCCAGCTCCAGAACAGCCCAGTGTGGGAGGATGTCAGGAGAAATAGTTCAGCTCATTATCCAGAAAAGATGTAGTGAGACAAACCCCAATGTTGTCACTCCCAAAATCCTGCCCCAGGAGTGCTGTGGTGGTGCCAGGACATGTGAGACACAGACAGAGCCTGTGTGGGAATTGTGGTGGGGATGACCAGGGAGCAAATCCTTCCCTGGGACAATGAGCAGACAGAGAACATGGACTGAACCAACGGCTGAGTTCCAGCGGAGTCAGCCCAGGGGGATGGAGGTTTCCAGGGTTTTTCTAAGCACATGGTTACTTTTGCTTCCATGCAGCAAGGCTGAGGTGACCCTCAAGGAGTCCCTCCCTGTTGCACAACACGGAGATATCTGCAGGTTGGTGGTGCTGGGACTTTCCCTTCCACCTCCCCCCCATCCTCATCCTCGCAGGAAAACTGGCAGAGCGAGTTCTCTGGGACGGGAGCTGCCCCACCTCTCTGCCGTGCCTCCACCTGAACAGGGCCCTAATTAGCACTAATTAGCAGCTGTGACCCTGCGTGGCAGCTGTGCAGATGTGTGACACAGATCTGTCACACAGTGGCACAGCCTTGTCTGAGCAGGGCACACCCAGAGACTGTTCCTCAAACTGCTGCAGCCAGGCAGGCATGGGAATATTGTGCTTGACTCGTGGAAACATTTAGGGAGGAAAAGACCTCCAAGACTGAGTCCAAGCTGTGCCTGATTCCCTCCTTGTCCCCAGCCCAGAGCGCTCAGTGCCACCTCCAGGGATGGGCACTCCAAACCTCCCTGGGCAGCTCCTCCCAATCCCTGAGCCCCCTTTCCATGGGGAAATTCCTGCTGCTGCCCACCCTGAGCCTGCCCTGGCCCAGCCTGAGGCCGTTCCCTCTCCTCCTGTCCCTGTTCCCTGGGGCAGAGCCCGACCCCCCGGCTGTCCCCTCCTGTCAGGAGCTGTGCAGAGCCACAAGGTCCCCCCTGAGCCTCCTTTTCTCCAGGCTGAGCCCCTTCCCAGCTCCCTCAGCCTCTCCGGGGGCTCCAGCCCCTTCCCAGCTCCCTCAGCTGCTCCTCCTGGGAGTCCCAGTGAGTTTCTATCTCAGAATAAATGTATCAAAACCTGGTTTTTATTCTTATTATGCCTTGGACATGTTGCTCAGTCCTCATGAGGTTTTAAGTTGTCAGTTGGTCAGAAACAATTTTAATTTACAGGTACAGAGGTTGATATCCCCACTCCTGCTTTCCTTGGTGTTCCACGCTAAAGGCAAAACATTTGATGTTTTTATGATGCTTTCCTTAATTAATTTCTATGTTTTTCTCCTTCTCTCACATCATAGGAATTGCTTTTAGCACACCATTTAGAGCAGATTGCAGGAACCTCCTGCCAGAAGGAGACCCATCCTGCTGTGCAACATCCATTGCTGTGGTGCAGGAACCCTTGGAACTGCCGGGATGGCAACATTTATCTACCCTTTGTGAAAATTAATGGAAGATTTTCCCCCTCTTTTTTCTCTTTGCCCTGGGAATCCTTCCCATACTCAGGACACCAGGCTGTGCTTCGGAAAGCACCAGGATTGCTGTGCTGTCAGCAAACCCCTGCCCTGGGTATATTTAGACTGAGACATGCTGATTTTTTACTTTGGTGTCCCAAACAAATCTCTGCTGCCTTGGTTGATGTCCAGAGCCAAAGGCTGATCGCAGGGACAGCAGAACGGAGCTGGATTTTGTCCCACCTTTCTCAGTGACACCTGTGTGGGGGTGTTACACAGTGGGTGTAATTCCACCTGCAAATCCTTCACTAGGGGAGGAAGGATCCAACTCAGCTGCCAGGGAGGCCAGGTTTGGGCAGGAAAGGGTGGATTTTCCATGGCAATGGGGTGTCAGGGTGGGGGGCAGTGCTGCTGTGGGTGGTCTCACTTTGGGGCAGGGGCATCTCTGGGTTTGGCTTTGTCCCCATAAATGGAAATGGGGCAGCTTTTGGGGCACATCCATTTGTCACCCCCGGGCTGTGAGCAGCAGCAGGGGTTTGATGGGGAGGGCCATTTGCAACTCTTGCTTTACCCTTTAAATGCTCCAGAAAGGGTTTAGACCTCACGGTAAGTATTGATCTAAGCGATTTTGAGTGGATGAAGGACATTCCTGCTGATGCCAATGTCCTGCAGAGCAGGTGAGCTGTCAGTAAGAAAGGACTTTGCACCATTTCCATTTGTTCATCCTCCATCTCTTCAGCATTTGGCAGAGATTTGAACAGGTAACAGACAGAAATGCTTAGCAGGGAGTTCCAGGTCCATTTCCACAGCAAGCCCAATGCTGTGCTGTCACAGCACACTGCTGCTCAGAACAGATTTGCATCCAATTTCCAATGCCTGCGGCTGCACTTGGTCCCTGTGCTGGTCAGAGGGCAGCCTGGGTGGCCTTGGTGCCCAAAGCAGCTGAGCTCTGGATGGCTGCTGGGTGCTCCGGGGCTCCTGTGGCAGTTTGCCAGCGGGATCTCCACCCTAAAGGCTGAATGAGCTGCTCATTGCCAAGGGCTGAGGTCAGCTGCATGGAAATGCCCAGTGGTGCCAGCAAGACCAGGCCTAAGGCACAGATTAGGAGTTATTAAACACAACTGTTATGAAGTAGACAGCACAACGTGCACAGCCCACAGAATCCCGGAATGGTTTGGGCTGGAAGGGGCTTACAGCCCATCCCATGGCACCCTGCATGGCAGGGACACCTCCCGCTGCTCCCAGCGTGTCCAGCCTGGCCTGGGCACTGCCGGACCCCGGGCAGCCCCGGCCGCTCGGCACCTGTGCCCGGCACGGAGGGAGCGATGGGGGCGAGTCTCCCGGCGCTTTCCAAGCTTTCCATGCCCCACATCCAGCACCAAACCCGCCCTGGCCTTTCCCACATGGACGGACCCGGCAGCGCGGGGAGGCTCCGGGCGCTCCCGCCGGCCCGCGGAGGGGCTGGCTGCCGCTCCGGCTCCCATTCCCTTTCCGTTCCCATTCCTCTTCCATTCCCGCTCCCGCTGCCATTCCCTTTCCATTCCCATTCCTTTTCCATTCCCGCTCCCGTTCCCATTCCTTTTCAATTCCCGCTCCCGCTGCCATTGCCTTTCCGTTCCCATTCCTTTTCCATTCCCTTTCCGTTCCCATTCCTCTTCCATTCCTGCTTCCTTTCCCATTCCCGCTTCCGTTCCCGCTCCCATTCCCGCTTCCTTTCCCATTCCTTTTCCATTCCCACTCCCGCTCCCATTCCCGTTCCCATTCCTTTTCCATTCCCGCTCCCGTTCCCTTTCCTGTTCCCTTTTCCCATTCCCTCTCCCGCTCCCATTCCCATTCTCATTCCCGCTCCCCTTTCCTGTTCCCATTCCCGTTCCCCTTTCCTGTTCCCTTTCCCGCTCCCCGTTCCCGCTCCCCTTTCCTGTTCCCGTTCCTCGTTCCCGTTCCCTTCTCGATCCCATTCCCGTTCCCATTCCTGCTCCCCTTTCCCGCTCCCCGTTCCCGTTTCCCACTCCCCGTTCCCGTTCCCATTCCCGTTCCCGATCCCTTTCCCGTTCCCTGCTCCCGTTCCCGCTCCCCTTTCCCTTTCCCGTTCCCTTTCCCCGTTCCCCGTTCCCCGTTCCCCATTCCCGTTCCCCCTTTCCCATTCCCGCTCCCCCGCCTCCCCTCACGCCGCTCCCCCCCTCACGCCGGCCCCGCCCCTCCCGGCACCCCCCGCGCGCCGCCCGTGCCCAATGGGCAGCGCGGGGCGGTGACGTCGCGGCGGGCGCAGCGCGCGTGCGTGTGCGCGTGCGCGCGGGGGCGGGCGGGCCGCGGCGGGGCCTGGCGGGCGCGGGGCGGCGGCGGCGCCGGGCCGGGCGGGCGGAGCGAGCGGCCGCCGCGATGGAGCCCGACTCGGTCATCGAGGACAAGACCATCGAGCTCATGGTGAGTCGCCCCCGGCCCCCGCGCACGCCCTCCCGGCCCCTCTCGCCCCCCCCGGCTCAGGCCTCCGCGGGGGCCGTGCCGGGCCCGCGCCGGCCCCGCGGGGAGATCCGCTCGCTCCCGCCTCCGCCGCGGCCCGCCCGGGGCGCCACGAGCGCTGCGTTTCATTGGAAATAAATAAATAACCACAATGAACCTGGCGAGAGGCACGAACCGAAAGCGAAATGCCCCGGGCGGGACGGCTCCGGCTCCGGCTGCAGCCCCTCCCCGGCCGGCCGGAGCCCTCCGCACCCCCGGGGCGGATCAGACCCCGCCGGGGAGCCTCGGGGCCCCGGGCCGGGGCAGCACGCTCGGAATTACCTAACGAGACCTAATTGGTGTATTGGTTATACTCCTAATTAACGCTTACGCCGCTAATTTCGCGTTAGTGGAGAGGCATCCAGGTGGGAGCAGTAGAAAGAGGTGGTGATTTTTTTTTTTTTTTTTTTTTACTATAAGCAAATTAGATCTCTATAGGCAAATAGAGACCCCTCGTTTTACTGCATTAGCGATGAATAAAATTAAATTAGGAGCAGAGAGAGAATAGTAGTCGGTAAATATCTTCTAATTTATTTGTTAGAAGCATAATTGCTTTTTCTCCTAAGCGCAATTTGCGTTCACATACAGAATTTCACACAGTTCTCCAGAACTGAGGGGCAAAATGCAAATAATTTCCCTTTAATGCACTCTGAAGGTGAGCTGGGTTCAGTGGAGACATAAATGTGTTTTTTAGCCAGTTGAGTTGTTGCTAAACTACCTGATCCAGAAAATACAAACTTTCTTTAAGTGTGCTATCTGGTCTCAAAAAGCAGAAATAAAATGAAAAAGAGGAACATAGAAAGCCTTTGTGTATCTTTCATTAATGTTACTGGTCACTGAGGGCAGGGGCTTAAAGCCGTTCCCAGGGAGCCTCCTCCCCTGGTGCTGTGGTCTCGCACTTGCCCTGGGGGGATCAGAGCCCTCAGTGCCCTCAGCAGGGAGGGCAGGGCTGGGGCAGCTTTGTGGGGATCCAGCTCAGGGCCAGCCACCCTGAGAAATGCCTCCTAAATTCCTGGGAATTGTGCTCTGGTGATTTTTTCCTTCCGTGGAACAGTCACCAACACTCCTGCTTTGGGTTCTGTGAGGTGCTCAGGTAGCATTTGGAGCTGGAAGGTTTGGCTCCCTCAGCTTTCAAAAACCGCTTTTCCGTATTTTCACAACTGCTCTCCCATTTTAGGCTCTCCTCTTTGCGGCCAGGTTGTATCAGGAGGAAACAAATGGGACTTTTGCTGTTGAGTGTTGTATCCTCCACTTGCTGGAGCTGGGAAATGTGCTAATCCATGCAAATATCTGTGGGGTTAATAGGAGTTTTAGTATGTAGTGGGAGGTTTTAGACATACACTTTTCTCTCTTTCATAAGAAACTGATAAATATAAAAATCGAGTAAGATGAACAATTAATTCTGTGGTTTCCAGGAGAAAATGGTATACAATGTATAAATGGTTTACAATGTAGTTGAATTTAATGTTAACCTTAGTGGAGGCTTTCACCAGATCACTTATGTTTGAGTGGAGATGTTTCCCTAAAAGCGTTGAAAATCACTCCTAAATGCAGATGTGGAGGTTTTGCCTTCTGATGTGGTGCAGAAGGGGAGATTCACCAGGAGATTGGTTTGAATCCACAGGGCAGAAGCTGTTTGGGCTGAGTTCCCTGTTGGGGATTTCTTTGTGATCTGGAAACGTGGGAAACATCCCAATCCCAGGATCTTCCCTGCCTGGCAGACTTGGGGGGATGCTGCTCTTTTTAAGAGTGTTTCACATTCCTAAAAGATGTTTTATGCCTCTTCTTGATCAGGGAGATGGGGTTTGGTGCATTGCTTCCCTCCAGTGCCAGGGATGAATCTGTAGTAAATACAGGAGCAAATGTGTGATCTGAAAGTTCTGAGGAGCAAATACACTGTAATTTTGAGGGGCTGATAAACAAGAGGTAATGTGTCAACATGTTAATTGCATATAAGTTTCAGAACATTCTGCTCTAGCCCTCAACTGTGCCTTCCCTGGATTGATCATTTGCATTTATTTAAAGGAAAATCAGTCATGGAAATAATAATACTGTTCTATTTTTAAGGCTGGAATCTCAGATAAATATTTCAAGGTTTCAGAGTGACAACTTTGATTTGCTGTGTGAAGTTTTAGTGAGTATTCCCAAGCCGCTGTGTCCCTCAGATCAGCTGAAGTCTTCCCGTGCTGTGTGCTGCTTCTGTGGATGCTGTCCTTAGTCATTCCCAGGGGGATGAGCATTGAGTGATGCCATTCCACAGCTGCCACTGTACAGGTGGGATAGCCCCGAGGTTAGCTGGGACTGACTGGTTTGCCCAGGCTGAGGCTCACTGTGTCTGGCAGGGCTGGGGCTCAGGGAAATGCTGGGTGTCAGCAGGCGACTGAGCAGTGAGGAGGTAATCCAGAACAGATGGAGGACCACTCATTGAAAGGGTTCGTTCTGCCCCTGGTTTTGGTTTTCTCAGTGAAATTAGATAGCTGTGACCTTTTTGCTCTTTTGAAGAACCAACTGCAATGCTTTGTGAAATAAGTTGTTATCTGCAGATCCGAGTTGTGTATAAAATCTGTGTTCAGTTGCATCAGCCCTCTGATTTGCATTTACCTTCAATATGTGCTAAAAGCCTGTTCTTAATTTTCCCAGGAAGCTTTCCATAATTGTTATTTAGTGTTACCAGCAGCTTTCACAGTGTGAGGGGGTTAGCTGCTTAGGTTGTTGTAACAGAATACATCAGTGTGGCACATAGTTTGGGAGGCATTTTATACATTTATGGGTGAGCTGTGCGCTGTGAGATGTGGACAGCATAACAAAATAAATCTGCTGCTCCCAGGCTCCTGTACCCACCAGCCACCTATGGGAGATGGCTCCTGAGCAGGAATCCAGCTGTGTGGAAATTCTCCCACTCACTGAGCTTATACCCCTCATGTTTCACTGTGGCCTTGCTGCTCAACAAACACAGGTCCCTGTGCTGGCAGGGTAAATTCAGCATTCAGTGCTCTGTGGTAGGAGCATGAAAAGGTTTGGAAAAGGCCATGCCTGGGAATAAAATGGGCAATTATTCACTTATTCACTTATTCACGCTGCTATCATTTGTATCTTGAAGTTATATATATGGAAATAATCTTCCTAACACACGGCCTTCAGTGTCTAGAATGGTTCTGTCTGGCTCTCCTAAAAGTGTCCAGTGTTTAAGTACCTCGGTAAATAATAAATGAGGAATTATAATTGAATATCTTGCCAAAAGTCTGTTTCTCCTGGCAGGACTTTGATTTGAGGTGGGGGTGTTCAGTTCAGAGGTACCAGTCTGAGAAGGAAGCATTTCACACAGCAGCAGCTCCTGCTGTAAGTCACTCCAGGGGTACTGAAGTTCCTTGGGTTACTGCAACTGGACATGGTTGTGCCCCTAAACTATTTAAAGCTCAAAGTGCAAAATAAATCCCAACATTCTGCTTGGAAGCTAAAATCCAGCTGCTGTATATATAGCTCAGTAGGGCTATAGTGCTCTGGCTTTTTTCTCAGTCATTGCAAGCCAAGCAGGCAGTTGGATTTGTGGGGGTTTTTTTTCACATGCTCTTGGAGGAATCCTTCAAAGAGTTGACTTTTGTAGCGACACAGATACAGGCAATGATCATCTTTGCAGCTGAAACAAAGGAGGTACTGTTCTAGCTGAAATGTGACTGGTTCTTAATTGAAGCCTTGGAGTAGATGGAGTGTTAGTAAGGCATTTGTAAACCTGTGTGTAACCTTGATATGCTTTCTTCAGCAGGATAACGATCTGTTTGCTTTGCTGGTATCTTTTTTTAATCAGCAGCTAAATGAACAGAGTTGAGAGCTGCATGTTGGACAGTAAAGCATGCAGGGTTTCATACATGGGGAAAGAGGCAATGGGTGGAGCAAACAGCTAAAGAGGTGGTGGTGGGATGGATTTTGAGGAAGGCACAGCCTTGGGATGAGCCTTGGGGCAGGAGATGTGAGCTCAGTGTGT